ATATATATATATATATATATATGTATATATATATATATATATATGTGTATGTATATGTGTATATGTGTATGTATGTATATGTGTATGTATGCAGTATATTCATGTATAATACAGACATGCACACACACTCTCAGCGGCCAGTTAAGTATTTGCCACCTGCTTGCTAACGCAAACATCATCCTAATGGCCAATCAGGTGCCTGCGGCCGAAACACGAGCAGGGTCAATGGTTTTGGTCGCTGTTCGCTTAAGGATTTGAGCAGCTAAGATGTGTGAAGCAATTTCGAATATGGTGTGACTTTGGGGTGCTAGATTTGATGGTTCCAGCCACCTTCCTATGCTTTTTGTATACTTTGGTGTCCAGAGTTTACAGAGGATGGTGTGATAAATAAAGCAGCAACCAGCGGCAATTCTGTGGGCGAAAGCACCTTAGTAATGAGAACATCTGAAGAAAATGACCAGGCTGGCTGCTAAAGTTAGCAGGAAGATCACAAGTGCAGGAATAACAGCGCAGTACATTTTACATTTGCATTTATTTATGTAGCAAATGCTCTTTTCCAAAGCAATGTATAAGTAAGGTAGATAATACAGTTGACCCTTCCACACTGTGGGGATTAAGGGCACAGGCCCCCCACAGTTGGAAAAAACACGTAAAGTGAAGTGAAAAGATACAAGAATCACGGGATACAAAGATCACTGCGAGATGTCACGTTTGAGGCTGCTGTAAATGCGCTTAGTGTCCCACAAACCAGCACTGTACATATATTTGTGTGCGTTTATGGTTTTCATGTGTCGTCTGCAGCTTTCGTAAAACTCCCGAACACTCAGTAAATTCCCATTTAATTTCATATGCTGACCCGTTGATATATATTGAAACCGCGATGAGGAAAGTGGCAATGCAGAAGGGTCAACTGTGTATCACAAGCTTACAGCCAACTAGGAAAAGCAGAGGTGCTGCTAGGCTGAGTTTCCATTTGATTACATTAGACTAGTAAGTTAGTATTGGAGCAGGAGCTAAATACAGCATCGTTAGAACTTCACGTCAGAAAAGATAATCAGTCAAGATACCATTTGGACTTGGCTCCTATTGGGCAAAATAAAAATGAGGGGAAAAAAACAGATGTGCAGGATATCTTATCTGAGAACGCAGCTTGTCAACCCTTGAAGCAATTCTGTAGGCAAAAATGGGTTCTACTACTGGTTCAATGTACCTAACAAAGTGGCCACTGGGTGTCTAATGTCTACACACACAAACATAACCAACATCTGATGCTCTTTTGCTAGCTAATAATCATTTGTTCAGTGTTGAATCCTGTACACTATAGAAAGTTTAGAGCCTGAATCCAGCCTTGCAGAGTGTGCTGGTTTGTGGTGGGTCTTAGTTCATTGTCATTATTTGAGTTGTAAGTCTTATCTAGAGGTTTTAGCGTTGAAAGGGAGCCCATTTTCTGCATTCTAATAAATATACAATGGTAGTTAAATGGAGTGTTAACGGCTACCCCCCCAAAGCTACATTTCTGAATGGCTCACCTTTTATGGACTCTGAAGTTGACTGGGACAATGTTCCTCCCCCCTCCCCCCCACACATCTATACCTGTAGTTCTGCTGCTTATTCTGCTCGGTTCAGGGGTTAAAAAAAGAGATTGCGAGCAGCATAAAATGAGCAATGCACACTGACAGAAGGTTCTGGGGGTCAATGGCGTGTGTCTGATGAATAAGTCATGGATGGGCTGCACTCGAGGGGTCAGTGCTTTCAGAGGGGTGCTGGGAAAACGGTTCCTGTGTCGTCTTGTGGAGCGAACACCCTTTGCGGTGAGAGCATGCCCCCCCCCCCCAGCCCATTCCCCAATCTCCCCCCCAGGAGACATGCTCGGATCTCCGTTTTAGAGGAGGAGATAAGCCGGGAATGAAAGGGGAGATAAAGAGCTGAATATGGATGGATGGACAGCCTCCTGGAGAGCAGGGTGGGGAGCAGGAAGGGCTAAGGGAGGGGGTCGTGCTGTCTGATTTTGATACAGCAGACAAGGTGGGGGGGGGGCAGCCTGTGGTGGTGAGAGGAAAAGAGCAAGGGGTTGCTCTCTGATATCATCTTCATGGGGGGGAGAGGAAGGGCAAGGGGCGATGGGGAGTGAGATGTGACGGTCTGGGGGATTAAGGCGCTGCATGGACGTGGATGGGGCGATCAGCGGCCTGGCCTCTGGGAGGATGGGAGGGGTAAACGGGGGCCGCCATGCAGGATCTGTGCCAAGGTGCCCATGGGGACGGTGGGAATGAAACATTGCGGGCGATTGGCGGGGGGGTAGAGAACAGCCTGAGCGGACTGGGGGCGGGGGCTTAGCACAGTATTTTCTTCTTTTTTTAAAGTGTACGCCAACCCCACTGTCCTCCCTCACCAACACAGTGGCCAGCTTAAGCCTATCGTGTGTGTGTGTGTGTGTGAGCTACAAGCGGGATGGACCGGGCCGACTTGGATTTACCGTCAAGAAGCCGAATCAGAGCTCTGACTCTGAGGTTTACATTAAACCTGTTTATCAGCCACTTTTATCCAAAGCAATGTTTATTTTAATTAGGGTCAGACAGTCCTTGGAGCAATTGGGGGTTAAGGGCCTCGCTCAAGGGCCCGATACTGATGTCACTTGGTGAGTGGCTCATCGGGCTAAGCCTCTGTCTGTGATCAGAAGGTTGCTGGTTTGAGCCCCAGCCTCCGCAGAACAGTTACATGTCCGTGGACCTTTGAGCAAAGTTCTTCAGCCCCAGCTCCAAGGGTGCCACACGTTGGCTGACCCTGTGCTGTAACCCCAAGCTATGGAGATCAAGATGGGGTAGGTGAAGGCAAGAATTCCAGTGTACTAGTGCAAATGGCAAATGAAAGATTTCTGACTTACCATCACTCTTCCAACATTACAGGCACCGGAGCCTGGCCCGCTGAGCCACACACTGCCCCCTGCTGTTCAGTTGGTGAAAAGAAAGTTACTAGAGGGTGCATGCAGTTAAAAATGCTGCCCTCCTGCCTGATTTCGCAGTGACACCCTGCCCCCCCCCCCCGCCATTAAAAAACAGCTGCAAATAATCTCGAACTTGAAGGAGCCAAAGCACTTTTTTACCGTTGCGGTGTGAGATGCATATAAAATCAGCCTGAGCTGGGCGTGTCCTGGGCTCGCGCTGCCCAAAAAGCAGGCTAATTGTACGGTCACAGAGGCACAGGGCGCGGGCAGCAGCACGGCACGCATGTGGTGGGCGCGGCTCATTGCGGGCCGGCGAGGCTGCAGTCCCGCCAGGCGCGTCCCTGTCACAGCTGAGATAAACGGCTGGACTTCTGCACCATTATCTTGCTTTTGGAATATTGACCGAAAATGATTTGTCACAGGCCAGAAGACGCCGGAGTGGGAGCCGCTGTGCAGCGTCCTTGGACGGCTTAGCCGTGTCCCTGTGTATGTGGGGGGGCTTTTGTAATCCTAAAAGCAGGACTCGCATTGAGGTGGATTTGTGGGGGGTGGGGGGGGGGTGTCCTGGAACCTCCTCATAAGAGGTCAGGGGCCTGGGACAGGGGGCCTTAATATGACCCCCCCGAACCCCAGCTGACAGGGGTTTTGTTATGTCATGGTCAGACCGCCCACCAGGGGACTCCCTAAAACCTTTGACCTGAGGGGGCTGTGACAGTTTCCCTCCCAGTGGGGTCGTCCATTTGCCACCTGCAATGAAAACCAGACTGATGCCCCCCAGCACCGGTGGCTCCCCACCCAAGCTGGCAGGGATCGTTCCCCGTCACCAGGCTGCTCTCTGAGCAGCAGCATGGCCGCCTCCCCCGGGCCACCCTACCTGGTTTGGCACCGCCTCCTGCTGGTGTGGATGTGTCATTAAAGGCACTGCATCTGTCCTCCTTTGTAAATAAGGCAGAGGAGCACAGCGGGTGGCGGGCGAGGTTTTCTGGTCGCCCCCCCCCTATGTGGTCACCTCCGCCAGGAACCTTAACCTGAACTGCATCCAGGCATTAAATGGCTAATGACTGTAAATCACTGCGTATAAAAGCGTCACCCTGGCTAAGATATGCAAGCATGCTGGTCTG